AAGGACAATGCCAGCATCACAAAAATCATGTTTCCTGGTAAAAACTTAAACTGTAGGTTTAGTATAGACACAAGTCCAGATGTGTGTGTGTGTGTGTGTGTGTGTGAGAGAGAGAGAGAGAGAGAGAGAGAGAGAGAGAGACAGGGTCTTAATATATAGCCCAGGCTGGCCTCAGACTTGCTATCCTCCTGCCTCAGCCTCCCAGAGTGCTGGGATTACTGGTGTGGGCCACCACTCCCAGCTAATTCAAATACTTTAATAACGAACAAGGTGGACCTAGTGAATTGCTTCCTTAAAAAGGATACAGCAGAGAGGATAGAATGTCATTTCTAAACTTAAGTCACAAAAGGTTGGCTTCTGCTCGCTTGGCCTGTCTTGCCCTCCCCGAGGGAAGCCTGCCGCCACGGAGCGCCTGCGAGAGGCCTGCATGGCCAGGAAGTGGCCGGCATCTTGCGAGGCACCGATGCCTCAGCCCAACGACGGGCAAGGAACTCAGTTCTGCGAGGGATCTGCTGTGAGCTCGAAAGCGAGGTGTCAGCGGCGCCTGTCACACCTTGGCTCGGGTCTCGAAGAGCTCGCACTGCAGAGACATCGGGCGAGGCGGCACAGCATCCCCGGCCTGCAGAGACTGGACAATAACAACTGTCGTCTAAACTGCCAGTTACGGGGAATAACGTTGATGGCAGAGAACAATTAGTGCAGGGGTGCTTCGTGCAAAGATCTTTACCAGATTTCAAACTCTTCGGCATATAAAAGGATGACTTGGTCGTAGGGTTTCCACTCCCATGGAATGCCTTGTTTCTTGGTATTTCAGTAAAATATTAATGTGCGTACAAAGGCAGACAAATTAGGGGTCAAACTGGCCACAAGGCAAATGTACTCCAAGACACAGATTAGGGGCTTACTAACCAGAGAGAACTAAGCAGATAGGCCGGGGTAACTGAGAGCCCTGAAAGGCGGGAAATGAAATCCCCAGCACGGGCAGCCGCAGAACCCCTTGGAGGGGCCTGTTAAGCCACAGGATGCCGGGGTCATCTTGGCAGTATCTGACTCAGCAGAGCTGCGCTGAAGAGAAAGAGTTTGGATTCTGAGGCGTTTCCAGGGGATGTTGGTGCCGCGGCCCGGGGCCCGCACTCTGGAAGCCACCGCACGTGGTAACCGCCGCCGTGGCTCGGTGTCCCGGGAGCGACGTGGGAATGGGGCTTCCAGAGCTGGCGTCGGCCCAGGGTGAGCAAGGCCAAAGGGAGCCAGACGCGAAGCAAGCGTGAGGCTCCTGGCAGGTAATTATGCTGGGGTGCAAGGGGCTCCACGGCCAAAGGAAATTAAACAAGAAATATTGGGAGGGCGTGCTGACTTCACCAGTCCTCCTCCAAACACCGCGATGTGAACAGCTGCTCTTGCTGCAGAGGGAGAAGCTAAAGCACCCGTCATTCCTGACCAAACAGCCGCCCAGCCGGGTTCGCTGGCCTGCGGGGGAGATAAAGTGCGTTCCACGCAGCCCTCCGAGTCAGGCGCTCCGGCTCTGACGCTATGATTAACGTCACCCGTTCTGTGCACCTGGTAGGATTCGCTCTGGGTTTCCACACGGCCCTGGCTTCCTCCTGGCTCCTCAGCTGGAGGTCCCAGAGCCATTCAGACCTTTCAGATTGGCCTGGTCTGATTGACAGTACAGTTTTCCTTGTGGGCATTCTCTGACCACTTCCGAGTCGAAATGATCCGAGTAGGCCAAAGGCCACGCGATTGTATTTATCCTTGGCTTTGTGCATTTCATTGATGTTTCAGACGGTGATATTAACATAGCACCTTCCAGACCACACAAGCTCATGTGGATGACCTTTCCAGGTCTGCGGCACGCGTTAGCGGATGGCATGGCACGGTAGTGCGGTCGTAAACAAGGCCTTGTCACCTGCGCCTCGGCTTGCTCCCTTGAAGACTCCGTTCCTTTTGCATTTTCCTTACAATTCCTTGCACACTGTTCAGGGGTCCTCATGTAACTAGGACAATGTCCGAGTGACAATTTCGGAGGCCAGTTCATTTTTGCTATTTGGGCCCTGGCTGCCTCCCAGCAACTTCTAATACCAATCCAATGGCTACAGGGCCAGGAGCATCAAAGCACTCTTCAGTTATTCATGGTTGATTTGCAAGGAAAAGAGGGGGCAAAGCATATAGAGGATTAAGATGGCAGAAATTTACCACCAAGAAGCTTCCAGTTCAGCTGGGTGACGCTCGCCTATAATCCCAGCACTCAAGAGGCTGAGGCAGGAGGATCGCTGCGAGTTTGAGGCCCGCCTGGGCTGCATAGTGAATGCAAGGCCAGCCTGGAACACACAGTGAGACCGTCTCAAAATAAATTAAAAAATTTAAAAAGAAGCTTCCAGTCCAGTAGAGGGAGAGACGCATTTGTGAACAACCAAACAAGTGGGATGGCACAAAATTTAAGGGCCAAAATATAGCATGCTAATTAGAAAATCACGCATTTTAATACTTTTTTAAAAAATGCAATTGACTTAATTCATTTCCAGTATTATCAGTCGTTTTTAGAGATAAATAGAGACTGAATCTGAAAGGCGAACCCAGGGAACGCTGCCGGCCCGCCTCTCCCTTGCCAACCAGCCAAGTTTTTCAGGGAGTAAACAGCTTAACAAGCACTCGCCCTGTGGCCCTGGGTGCTGCCCCCCCAGGGCTTGGTGTTTCCCGCGCCCCTCCCACAGTGAGTCCGACTGCCTGCTCAGTAGCGGCGGCGTGCCTGGGACTTCTCCACCTTTGGAGATCCCTGACCCTGTGACCTGGTGCGTGAATGCGGGGAGGCCCCGATGGACGGAAAGGAGGGCTCAGCCCATTTCCTCCCCAGGGGCACTCCCTGCCTCTGCCTGCCCCGAGCCAATGCGCTCTCAGACTCCCAGGACACCCGCACGGCCAACCCTAGAAACTTCCTTCTCTATAAAGGATGCCCATCCATGGTGTTCCATTACAGCAGTACAGACGAGGGAAAGGGGGCCAACCGTCTGTAACAGACGCTGTATGGTGAGCAAGATAGCCACCTGTGTGGAGACTGCAACTGCAATCTTTGTTCAGTTTTTCACCTTTTTAAAACCTTTCTTTGGGATACCAGTGAGTACACTTTTAAGCCGAACTAAACTACTCTTTCACATTTCGGTGTAGGCCCTTTTAGGCCTAGATAACGGGAGCGGGTGCTTACTGGCAGAACTGAGCTAGAATAAAGCATATTTCCTACCCCACTGCCTCGCCGGGCTAAAACTGTGTTTCCGTTCCCTTCGCACGGCTCAGGACCAACCCGCTCCTGATGAGCGTACTCGGTTTCTCTGGGGCTACATTCTCTGCAACGAACATGGGGATTTCAGCACCGCTTTGTGACACACCTGTAATCCCAGCACTCGGGAGGCTGAGGCAGGAGGATGGCTGGGAGTTTCAGGCCAGCCTGGGCTACAAAAGGAGTTCAAGTCCAGCCTGAACTGTATACCAAAACTCTGTCTCTAAAAAACAAAACCAACAAACAAGAATATGAGGATTCATGTGTCCCCGGGATATGATGTCTTTAACTCTTTGGGGAAGATACCTGGAAGGGGAATAGCTGAGTTGAATGGAATTTCTAGTCTTAGTTTTTTGGGGAATCTCCATGTTGGTTTCCATAGTGATTGTACTCACCCGCATTCCCACCAACAATGTAGGTAAAAGGGCTCCTTTCCCAGCCTTTGTTATTGTTTGATTTCTTAGTGACAGCCATTCTCTCTGGAGTAAGATGGAATTTCAGTGTTGTTTTAATTTGCATTTCTTTAATGGCCAGAGATACTGAACATTTTTTCATGTATTTGTTGGCCATTTGTACTTTTTCAGAGAAATGTCTATTCATTGAAGCTGCCCCTTTTGGGGGTAGGTGTTTTTTATGTATTCTAAATATTAGTCTAGCTAGATCTTGGAAGTGACTTATATGTCTATCAACAGATGAATGGAGAAAGAAAATGTATTTACATGCAATGGAGTACTACTCTGCCATAAACAAGAACAAACTTGAGTCATTTGTAGGAAAATGGATGTACCTTGTGACTATAATGTTATATAAAATAAATCAGTCATGTGAGCTTAACTATTGTTTGATTTCTCGTAGATGAGAAACCCAAACTATAAATAAAAAGCAAAGTAAAAAGACAGGCAAGAGGAAATGGGGAGATAGAGATTTTACAAACAGGCAGGGGATCAGCGGATGGAGGAGGGGGGCTCAGGGGAGGAGAGGAGGGGAATGAGTTAAGACGCGGTGTGAGCACATGTCACATCCCCACAAGGAACGCAATCATTATGTACTACACGCGTGTACTAATAAAAACAAAAATTTGAGAAAAGAATGTTGTTTACAAAATGGCGAGAAACTTACAAAGGCGCGGATTTGCCCGGGTCTTCTAACTCTGCGCTGGGCCTGCTCTCACGTTCAGCACGCAGTCCGCTCTCGGCAAGCCTGGCCCACAGGCTCTCACTCGGGTCGGGCCCTTTACCTCTGCTTCGAAGGTCCTTTCCGTGAGCCTCTTTCCTGACCCACCCTGCGGTTTCCTCTGCCTCGTATCCGCACAAACCTCCCAAATAATTGGCCTAGGTCCTTTGCTTCCTTCCTGCAAAGGCTTTGTACTGCTCCCGCCTTTCTGAGCGAGATTCCGGGGTTATCTGCGGCCAAAACTCTGCTGCATGGTCCCAGATCACGGTCGGGGTAAAACCCTATGCTTTGAGCTCCTTATTGGGAAAAGCTACGGATATAAATTGTACATTTAGCTACCGTGGTGTAACAAAATTAAGCGTGAGCGCCTAGAATACCGCGGCTTACAGCTAACAGAACCTTCAAGGAAAGCGCCGTCAAGGCCTGCGGGGTGAGCAAGCAAGCCTCGCGCGTTCCAGTCGGCGCGCTCGTTTCCGTGAAGAGTTCCTTCTCCAAGATGGTGTCATTATTTCCCCCTGAAAACTTCTGCTTTTAGTCACATGTTCAATAAACCTTATTCTTCTCAGTTGTACAGAGCCAAACTCCAATGAGTGGATTTTCAGTCTCAAAATTCGTGAATTCCGAATCTAAGGGCTGGAAGCACCCTCGGATTGGCCCGAAACAGAGATGGGACTTACCTTTCGGTGCGCTGGGGCCGCCTGGCTGTCTGGAAGGCTTCTCTTTCACGGGCATTCTGACTTGGGGAAGGGTCAGAAGGCGCAGTGCCAAGCCCGGCGAGCGCGGTGAAAGCGTCCCGGCGTTTCTAGGAGGCTGCCTCTGTGCTGACGGCGGCCGCCAGCCGCTCCCTCCCCGCAGAGACACGAAGGAGGACTTCCAGGACGGCTGCAGGGAGTGGGACAGAGCAGCGAGAGAAGTGTGTCTGACGCAGGGGGAGCATTTGGAGAGAGGTTAGTGTCATTGTGTCCTTTATTTTAATAAATAAAATAAAAATGTAAACATTCACCGTCTAGCTGCATCACACCTCGCGTCTGAGCTCTGTCCAGCAGCACCGAAGGCGTCCGCATCTCCCACGCCTAGGGCAAAGCTAGAGCAGTCTTTTCGTGTAGCCCCAGCCCCGTCTCTGGGCCCTGGCGTTTAGAAGGTCACTCGGTGCTCGCCCTTTCCTCCGCTGGGAATTCCCCACCGCTCGGTGCTTCCTCTGCCTGAACTGCGCTGGCTTCTCAGATGAACCTTGCTGAAGAGTTTCCCAAGTGTGAGAACGGCCCTGAGAAGTGTTCCAAACCCGGCCGATGAAACAGACCTGGGAAAATTACCATCCGTGCTCCCAGCCAGGCCTCTCAGGGACCAGCTGTGAATTTGGTAGATGACTGGGTAACCTGAGATGCAAACCGGGCTGACAGACTAGAGCGCTATGTCCTAAATGTCCAAACTACCCACTCCCCATATTTTCTGGGCCTGATAATAATAGAAATACAAATTAATAGAAGCACTTTTGAGCTGTATGATAATAGGGCCTCAACGTGTGCTGAATGTCATGAAATATGGCCACAGCCTTTCCCTCGGCACTAACTGTGATCTATAGTACAGATCTATTTAATGGAGTGGTTTTTGGTTTGGTTTGGTTTGGTTTGGTTTTTTCTTTTTTTGTTGTTTTTTTTTCCGGTACCAGGAA